ACAACTAATAATTATAAATACACATAAGGCACATAATCAACACTTAAACAATTTAGACGATTAATTTAGCACATACAATAACAATTAATAAATAAGTGAAAATAAATAATATTATTAATAATAAAAATTCCAATTTATTCATAAATGAACGGGGCGTTACAGTCTACCCACCTTACAAAGAATTCCGATCTCGGAATTCGAAAACGAAAACAAGAAAGCGATAAAATACAAAGGAGAGCTCAGAACTCAAAGTTCGGATAACGCCTCCTAATACCGTCCTCCCTTTCCCAAGTCGCCTCGGTCTCATCGTGTCGGCTCCACAGCACCTTCACCAAGCTCACTGCCCGGTTCCTCAGCTGATGGACCTTCCGATCCAGAATAGCTACCGGCACCTCCTCATAGGTAAGGTCTCGCTCGACCTGCAGCTCGCCGAAGTCCACCACATGATCAGGATTATGCACATACTTCCGAAGCATCGAAACATGGAACACATCGTGCACACCCGATAAGTCTGGTGGTAAAGCCAGCTGATACGCTAAGTTCCCGACTCGGTCGAGGATCTCGAACGGCCCAATGTAGCGAGGTTTAAGCTTCCCTTTCTTCCCGAAGCGAATCACACCTTCCATGGGTGAAACCTTCAGAAGAACATGATCTCCCACCGCATACTCATGCTCATGCCTCTCCCGGTCGGCATAAACCTTCTGCCTCTCCTGGGCGGACCTGATGGCCTTCCGGATCTCCTCAACGGTTGTAGCGGTACTCTGAACAAAATCCGGTCCCGTAATCCTCCTCTCTCCAACCTCATCCCAATACAGAGGGGTCCGGACCTTACGTCCGTATAAAGCCTCGTATGGGACCATCTTGATCGAAGAGTGATAGCTGTTGTTGTAGGTCAGCTCGACTAGCGGAAGGGCATACTCCCAAGTCAGGCTTCGGTCCAAGACCACAACCCTCAAAATATTCTCCAAATACTGGATCACACGCTCTGACTGGCCGTCTGTCTGGGGGTGAAAGGCGGTGCTGAACTCCAGCCTCGTCCCCATGGCTCGGTGCAACGTCCTCCAGAACTGGGATGTGAACTTTGCATCTCGATCTGAAACGATCTCCACGGGCACTCCATGAAGCTTGGCAATGTCCTTGACGAACAATTCAGCGTAATCACTCGCCTTCATGGTCGTCCGGACAGGCAGAAAATGGGCAGACTTCATAAGGCGATCCACTATCACCAAAATCGAATCGTACCCGCTCCTCGATCTCGGCAGTCCAACCAAGAAATCCATGGTGATGCAATCCCACTTCCACTGGGGAACCTCTAGGGGCTGCAATACCCCCCTCGGTTTCTGGCGTTCAGCCTTCACTTGCTGGCACACCAGGCACCCATCCATGAACTTCGCCACCTGCCTCGTCATGCCTCGCCACCAGAAGGACTTCCTCAGGTCCTGATACATCTTCGTGCTACCAGGATGGATGGTGTACGGGGCACTATGGGCCTCCCTCAAAATCTCTCTCCGCAGCTCCCACACCCTTGGAACACAAAGTCTACCCTCGAAGACCAAGGCTCCATCGGATGCGACTGCGAATCCACCAACTCTACCAGCTGCTAACAACTCCTTCATACGGCATAAGAAACGGTCATTCGGTTGCTCGGCGACTATCCTCTCCCGAAGAGTCGGTCCCACAACCAAAGAGGCCAACATGCCCCCGGCTGTCGAAGTCGACTCCACTGCCTCTAACTGCAATCGCTCGAACTCCCGAAGAAGAACATCCTGCCTGGTAAACAAGCAAGATAGCTGACCATAACTCCTCCGACTAAGGGCATCGGCTACCACATTAGCTTTCCCAGGGTGATAGCTAATGGTGCAGTCGTAGTCCTTGACCAGCTCCAACCACCTACGCTGCCTCATGTTCAGCTCCTTCTGAGTGAAAATATACTTCAGGCTCTTGTGGTCGGTAAAGATCTCACACTTGCCTCAGTAGAGGTAGTGCCGCCAAATCTTCAAGGCGTGAACAACTGCAACTAACTCCAGTTCATGAGTGGGGTAGTTCTGCTCGTGAGGCTTATGCTTCCTCGAAGCATAGGCTATGACTTTCCCTTGCTGCATGAGAACACAACCCAGGCCCATCTTCGAAGCATCACTATAGACGGTGAACTCCAAAGTAGGGTCGGGTATGGATAGGACAGGTGCGGTAGTGAGTCTCCACTTCAACTCCTGGAAACTCTCCTCGCACTGAGGACTCCAATCAAACCTCACGGCCTTCTTCGTAAGGTTTTTCAGCGGCTGGGCTATCTTCGAGAAACCCTCGATAAACCTCCTGTAGTATCCTGCTAACCCCAGGAAACTACGAACATCTGCGGCACTTCTTGGTGTGTCCCATTTGCTCACCGCCTCGATCTTGCTGGGATCCACCTCAATGCCTCGAGCTGTCACAATGTGGCCACGGAATGCCACACGCTGCAGCCAGAATTCGCACTTCGAGAACTTTGCATACAACTTCTCACGGCGAAGAGTATCCAGCACAATCCTCAAATGCTCCTTGTGCTGATCGATATCACGGGAATAGACCAGAATGTCGTTGATGAACACAATGACGAACTGGTCCAGGAAAGGATGAAAGACCCTATTCATAAGGTCAATGAAAACGGCCGGGGCATTGTTGAGTCCGAAAGGCATGACTACGAACTCATAGTGGCCATAGCGAGTACAGAAAGCAGTCTTGGGAATATCCGACTCCCGGATCTTCAGCTGATGATAGCCAGATCGCAAATCAATCTTTGAGAAAACGCTGGCTCCTCTCAGCTGGTCGAAAAGGTCCTTGATACGGGGAAGGGGGTACTTGTTCTTGACTGTAAGGGCATTCAACTCCCGATAGTTAATGCACATGCGCATAGATCCGTCTTTCTTCTTCACGAATATGACGAGCGCACCCCACGGCGAGACACTCGGGCGAATGAAACCGAGTTTGAGCAACTCCTGGATTTGGGCCTTGAGCTCTTGAAGCTCTTTCGGCGCCATACGGTAAGGGGCCTTAGAAACGGGGCCGGCTCCTGGAATGAGGTCAATAGTGAACTCCACCTGGCGGTCTGGCGGTCCTCCGGGTAAGTCATCAGGAAAGACGTCGAGGTATTCGCATACGATAGATACTCGCTCGGGCACCCGCTCATCAACATCGTCGGATACCATGGAAACAAGATAGCCTTGACAGCTACCCTTGGAAAGGCTCTTCCTAGCTTGCATAGAAGAGATGACCCGAGGCACAGTCCTCGAACTCACCCAAAAGAACACAACAGGCTGATCAGAAACGGCATAAAGGGTGACTTCGCGCTCCTGGCACCGGATATTGGCTCGGTAACGGGTGAGCCAGTCCATGCCCAATATCACGTCGAAGTCTCGCATATCAATAACATAAACGTCGGCCTCCAGAACTCGACCGCCGATGCAGATGGGAAGATTGCGAACCACATAATCAGAGATAATAATTTTTCCCGAGGCTAAGCTAACCTCGAGAGGATCACAAGCATGCACGGTGCCAATAGACAAGGCCTCCAAGTAACGAGAAGAAATAAAAGAATGGGTAGCACCGGTATCACATAAGGCAAAGACAGGAACATGGGTTATCGAAAGCATTCCGGACATGGTACCTGCATTGCGAGCGGCCTCGTCGTGGGTGATGGTATAGACTCGGGCCTGACCCCCAGCCCTCTGCTGGAACGGTGGGGGCTGCTGTTGCTGATGAGGGAAGTGTTGCTGCTGCTGCTGAGGGAACTACTGCTGCCTCTTGGGCTCCGGACAGACACTGGCATAATGACCCGGACGGTTGCAGTTGAAACAGGCTCGCTGGTCGGCTAAGCACTCGCCACTATGGTACTTGCCACATTTCTTGCAGGTGCGGTTGCCAGAAGAGGGATGATTGCGCCGGTCTGGACCTCCTCGCTTTCCCTTCCGGTTATCCCGGTGGGAATCTGACTTTCTCTTACCCGAGCTAGAGCCGGGCGGGGCCGAGGAAATAGGCTGAGCATACTGGACCACAGTCCGAGACGGCTGGGAAGCATGATAAAAAGAAGGAACTGGAGTCAATGGAAAGAGACAGCTCTCGAACTCCTGAGCCCGACTCACGGTATCTGCATAAGACATCTGTCCGTGGCTCCCCACCAGCTCACGGATCCTCTGGTTGAGCCCCTTAAGGAACTTGCGGGCCTTCTTGGCATCGGTGTTCACAGCGTCGCCCGCAAAAAGGCACATGCGAGTGAAGGTACGGACATACTCATCCACCGTGGAACTGCCCTGCTGCAAGTGGTAGAACTCATGCTCCATTCTGTCCCAAAAGCTCTGGGGAAGAAACTTGCTTCGCACCATCATCTTCATTTGCTCCCAAGTGAGAGCCTGAAGCTCTACCTCCAGCTTCCGAGCCCAGTGGTCAATCCACTAGTCGGAAGCGTCCTCCTTCATCTGATATGCTGCAAGGGACACTCGCTGACGGTCAGGGAGGGGAAGTACAACGAAGATCTTGTCCAGTTCTTTGATTCACTCCAGCACTGCTGTGGGGTTCTCAGTCCCCGCAAAGGTGGGTGCATTCATCCTCTGGAACTGAATGATAAGCTGGGTAAGATACATGGCCGGAGGGGCCTGGTGCTGACGGGGCGGAGAAGGTTGCGGGGATGGTTGACGATTACGGTTGTTGTTGCGAGTATTCATACTTCTACATTGGATAAGTCGAACAAGATTTAGCACAAGAACAAACAAAATAATCAATACTTACTGAAGTCTAGAGTGTTAGAGGTATGCTGTAAAAGTTGTGTTTTGCAGTTTCTATCAATTCCATTTT